ACGCGACTTTCCACTACAACCGGTCAGGTCTTCATGTAGTGTAGGCCATCGAAAGTATAAAAAAACGCAACGAAATATAGATCTGTATTTTAATCAGATTGTTTATACACAAGCCTGGACATATACAGGCACCTGTTACTGACTTCAGACATAAATTATCACTCAACTTATAGAGAGAGAAATGGGGTTTAACGTTCACTCGACACAAACTAAGTCATTTTGGGGCTAACACATGGTTCAATTTTATTTCAATAATTCGCTAGCGTGTAGGGGTCTTTAGCAGTGGGAGGAAACCGGAGTAAACCCACAAGGTTGGACAGACGACCCTACTCCTTGTCACGTACCAGGGAATCGAAATCACACCAGTTGACTCAATGACAGACTTTGATACAACGCGCACACACTATCTATTTGGCAATCCAACCCCCCACTCAACTGTATATAGGTTATATGATAATTTGTGTCTGACAAATTCTATAACATGTGCCTGTACATGTCCACGCCCCAACTTCACAAAGCATTCTCAGACTTAAGAATTTACTCAAAATTCTTTGTCTTGTTTTAACTAAAATATAGCCCATTATAAAATTTTTGTTGTTTTAATGTATCAAATACATTCACTAAGAAACTATGTTCAAAGTTTTGTGTTTCTGGATCAAAGATATTTCTCATAAACAGTGATTGAAAGTTGAGTAAATTCTTAACTTAAAGCTGAGAATGCTTTGTGAACTTGAAGCCTGACTTGTATATGATCCTTGGAAATTCATATATTGGTGCAAAAAACTCCTATTCTTCATTACTTTTCACTTTGTGCGTTTTAAATATGACAATAACTATACTATATATCTACATGGAATAAAATATTACACTGTGTTAACTAGTTGATTGCACTTTTTATCATATGGCTAATATGAGACTAATAATTAATATCATGTTTATTTTTTAAGTGTTTTACAGCACTATTGACAACATTGAAAAATCTTAGGAGATTCTTTTAGAGAACTAAAGATCTACTAGTAAATAATAAAACACAAAAACACATTCTTATGGAAAATAGCCACAAGTATGTAGCCACCTGTGATGTTTCAAACAGTATTCTCTCAATGTAACCAAGCTAATAACAAGAGACAGAGAGTTTAAAGTCCACTAGACACAAACAAGGTTATTTTGGGACTAACATATGGTCAATTTTATTTCAATAATTTGATTACGCTTAGGGGTCTTTAGCAGTGGGACGAAACTGGAGGACCTGAAGAAAACCCATGAGGTTAGACAGGTGAAACCTACCCCTTGTCACGTACAACCAGGGGAATCAAAACCACGGCAGTTGATTCAATGACAGACCTAATGATGCAACTCGCACATGCTAACCATTCAGCCATCCAACCACCCAATAACATTATGAGAATACTCTTTGAAAGGTCACCTTAAATATACAAGTAGCTGTTTTTCCATAAGTATGTGTTTTTGTTTTTTTACTCTATCCAGTTACTAAATGCCATTTACAGATAACTATCAGTAAAAAAAACCCACAGTAACCTGTTTAATTTTGAGACTCAATGATCTACTGGTCAATAGGTACCGTGAAGGTTAAAACTGTGCGGTGAAACAAACTTCAACATAAAAGGAAATTGATAATTGTGTTCAAATAAAAAAAGTGAGTTAAAAATTAAAGCATCAACGGCACAAATTAATTTTAGGGGAGGACAATTCATCATTTGGTTTTGCATTTATCTGTCAAATTAGTTTTAGAAACAGATACAATTATACATTATAACTAGACCTGCGATGCAGTTATAAAAGGTTTCACTGATGTTATTTTTACCTTTAACCACAAGGCCTCAATTGGTGATTTTTCTTGTAAACGAATTCAGGGGGAAGGCAGTTAATCAACTAAGAAAAGAGAATTTACGGGTAAGGGAGTTAACTTAACCAACTAAGCAAAGCGGCAACAATATTTGAAATCTGACATAGTGTGTGCAAATTAGAGCAGTGTGAAATCCTAATTAAATTTGGCACTTCAATACAAATTAAAAAAGAAAACAAATTTAAATTATTAATGAAGTCTATTAAGAAGCCACACTGTTTTAAGGCCCAATTTTGAGCTTGATTTTACAAAAAGAAAAATCTCAGAATCACCCCCACCCCCAAACACTTCGAAAACCCAAAACAATATACTATCGGACATTTCTTTTATATCTTTAAATAGGTAGATCTTATTTCAAACCAGTTTGTGTGCTAAATTTGAGAAAAATCTGCCTAACCATGTCTAAGATAAAGCTCTTTTCAACTTTATGAGAAACCGAAATTGTCTTCTTTTCTTTGTGCAGACAAGAAATAAAATTTGCTATATTTTGATATTTCTAAAAACTCATTACAATTATTGCCATTCATTATGATGCTTTTTCTTTTTCAGCATATTTTTAGAATTCAGCATAATATATTTTTAGAAAATCAAACACAATAAGTGGGCCTTTAATCTACAAATCATCTTGCCTGATTTTTACTGCTGTTCTCAGAAGCGGGCTACAAAAGTAAAAATATTCCATAATAATAATTATAATACTTAACATCAACAACTGCATTCAATTTAAAAAAAACCCATCAAATCAATTACCTCGGAACATAAATTTTTTCCAACAACTAACATACATTAATATATGGCAACTTTTAACAAATTTGTAATTAAAACACATTCACTGAAGCACTTGATTATTCGATACAAAATAAGTACAAATATTAATTAACTAGAATAACACATTATCGTTTTAGCTTAAATAATAATAATAATATATAAAGATAAGTTAATAATAAGGATCTTATTTCATTTCTAAAACAATCAAATTAAATTTAGATCATATTTCGTTCTGACTTTTGTTTTTACACTATATAAAATCAGATCTTATTTCATTCTGACTTGGATATATTGTTGGTCTATGTCTACACTATATAAAATCTGATCTTATTTCATTCTGACTTAGTCTACACTATATAAAATCAGATTTTATTTCATTCCAACCTTGTCTAGGTCTACACTATATAAAATCAGATCTTATTTCATTCTGATTTAGTCTACACTATATAAAATCAGATCTTATTTCATTCTGACTTGGTCTAGGTCTACACTATACAAAATTAGATCTTATTTCATTCTGACTTGGTCTACACTATATAAAATTAGATCTTATTTCATTCTGACTTGGTCTAGGTCTACACTACATAAAATCAGATCCAATTTCATTCTGACAGATACATTGTTGGTCTAGGTCTACACTATATAAAATCAGATCTTATTTCATTCTGACTTGGTCTAAATCTACACTACATAAAATCAGATCTAATTTCATTCTGACTTTAGACATATTGTTTTGTCTAGATCTACTGGTATATAAAATCAGATCTAATTTCATTTTGACTTGGTCTAGATCTACACTATATAAAATCAGATCTTATTTCATTCTGACTTGATCTACACTACATAAAATCAGATCTAATTTCATTCTGACTTTAGTCATAATTTTGTCTAGATCTACTGGCATATAAAATCAGATCTAATTTCATTTTGACTTGGTCTAGATCTACACTATATAAAATCAGATCTAATTTCATTCTGACTTGGTCTAGATCTACACTACATAAAATCAGATCTTATTTCATTCTGACTTTAGTCATAATTTTGTCTAGATCTACTGGTATATAAAATCTAACTACTTCTTTACCAGTTATCTCTTGTCTTTTGAAATCTGATACAAGACACTGTGATTGGCTAAAACCATTATTGCTTTAATGGCCGTCAAGTCAGATCAGTCAAACACAAACTTCGTACAGATGTAGTCAGACCTGAATGTAATGTAAAGATAAACGACATACAAACGAAAAATGAACGAATGTATGATCTAATTTTAATTTGACTTTCTCAATATGGCCAAATCAATTTGATTTCAGTTCTTCAGAGAGAGAGAGAGAGAGAGAGAGAGGGAGGGAGGGTTTAACGTCCACTCAACACAAACTAGGTCATTTCGGGACTAACATATGGTTCAATTTTATTTCAATAATTCACTTGCGCATAGGGGTCTTTAGCAGTGGGAGGAAACCCGAGAACCTGGAGAAAACCCACAAGGTTAGACAGGCGACGCTGCTACTTGCCACGTACAACCAGAGAATCAAAACCACGCCAGTTAACTCAATGACAGATCTCATGATATAGCGCACACCATTCGGCCAATCGAACCCCGATTAAAATTTGGAACTAGAAGTTGTTTTCCCGATGAAATAAGAATAAAAATTTTGAAAGATGTTCGTTCCCGAAGAACAAAAAAACAAATTGTTTTGGCCTATGTTTGTATGACTAGGTTCCTACTGTCCTGCGGTGCGTTGCGACAGGATTGTCCCTTTTGAGTCCATGAATTGGTACGTGCAGATATGTTTCGATATACAATCAACACAATTGCTACAACTGACCTCAATACATGATAAGACCTGATAGGATCCCCACGATTACTCCACGATTAAAACCACGATTTCAATCGTAGCACGAATCGTGATAGTGTAAACCTGATAGGATCCCCACGCTTACTCCCTGATTAAAACCACGATTTCAATCGTAGTGCGAATCGTGATAGTGGGAACATAGCATAAGACATCATCAACGTTTTTAACTTTTGGTTTTTGACGCTTACGATGAAATAAACTCAATTAAAGAGTAATTCTCGTATAATTATTTTTTTAGAATTAAAATTAAATAATAAACCATAAAAGTCATTTAAAAATAGGAAAACTTTGTAAGGCAGGGACAAATCTTGAAAAATCATGTTGCTTTAGCCTGTGTATCGCAGGCACAAAATTTTAGGTCACTGTCTCAGATTAAGAATTCACAGGATCTACAGATCTGTACGATGGTCCGTTATCAAAATCAAGGAAATCTTTTTTAGACAGATGGACGCATTGGCAGCTGTTGATGACAATTAAATTTTTCGTGGAGGGGGGGAGGTCATACAAATTTGTTTGCTTACAGGGGACAAGGGAGGATTTCAGAAATGAAATAAAATGGGGTTTAATGTCCTACTGTTCTGCTCCAACTTGGATAATGAAAACGGGCATATGCCATACAGTGTGCTATGAGGGAAATTTTGCCCAGATAGCGGCACACTATTGCCTACTCTTATATCGAATTCCAACTGCGAAGGGATCTTTAACATACACGCCAATGTGTACACGGGAACTTGTTTTTTTGTCCTATCCAAACAACTATACAGCTGCCCTTGTCATCTATATTTTATAGTACCCAGTGAAAACCCATGAGGTTGGGCAGAGATGACCCCACCCTACTCCTTGTCATATACAAGCGAACTGAAAACCACACTACCTGAGAGAAACTCCGCCTACCCCCGACCCTCCACCTTTAAATAACACAACAAATCACATTTAGATCCATTTTTTCCTGTCTAAAACTCAAATCCTGATTTTGATTTACTTCCATCAAACTGATTCTGAGTTCCGTTTATCCTAATCGTCATGGTGACATACGGCGTATATGCAATACAGCCATATTACACTAAAATTTGAGCGAATTCCTTTTCAAGAGATTAACATATCTCCGCCATCACATACATAATCAATTGCATCAGGACAATTTTTGTCATAAAAATAACATTATACAATAAAACATATGTAACTTAAAACATAACAGAAAGTTTTAAAAAATTCATTCTGTTTTTGCCTTTTGGTTTTCTTCCTGAGCTGGCTCTGGGTGTCCATTTTTATTCACCATGTTTTGGTAGGCCACAAATATTTTGGCATAATCAGGTTTATCAGCCGCTTGCTGTTGAAATTCGTCTGAAATAGTATAATTGACTCAATGACAAGACCATTACAATGCACATGCGCACGCCCTAACCATTCGCCCTAACCAATCGCCCATCATTTTGGGACTAACATTTGGTTTTAATTTTATTTCAATAATTCGCTTGCGCGTAGGGGTCTTTAGCAGTGGGAGGAAACCGGAGGACCCGGAGAAAACCCACGAGGTTGGACAGGCGACCCTACTCCTTGTCACGTGCAACCGGGGATTCGAAACCACGCCAGTCGACTCAATGACAGACTTTATGATACAGCGCGCGCACGCTAACCATTCAGCCATCCAACCCCCCGTAAGAGAAAGAGAGGGGGAGAGAGAGTTTAAGGTCCACTCAACGACAGACCATTACAATGCAAATGCGCTGACCATTCGACCATCTCCACACCCTCCTGAAAATTTTAGAGAGAGAGAGAGAGGGGGGGTAACGTCCACTCGACACAAACTAGTTTATTTTGGGACTAACATATAGCTCAATTTTATTTCATGAGTTTGCTTACGCGTAGCGGTCTTTAGCAGGAGGTAACCAGAGGATCCGGAGAAAACCCACGAGGTTGGACAGCCGACCCTAATCCTTGTCGCGTAAGTTGACTTAATGACAGACCTTTTTGACACAACGCGCACACGCAAACCATTTGGCCATCCAACCCTCCTACAATTGAAGAACAGTGTGCATGGTTCTAGTAATGTATCTAGAGTCAACTGCTAAATCCTTCTAATACAAGATGAAACTTACCATAAGATATTTTTCCATCTTTATCTTTATCTGCATCTTCAAACAATTCATGAACATCATCTTTATTCATACCAAATGCATTATGCAGTATAGTAGTTAGACCATCTTCAGTGATATAACCATTATTTTCACTATCAAATAACTGAAAAAAAAAAAATGAAATGAAATGAAATGGGGTTTATTGTTCTACTCCGACCAGGCTAATGAAGACGTTCATAGGCTACACATCGAATTCCAACTGCCAAGGGATCTTTCTTTTACGTGCTCTCCAATGTGTACACAGGTCCTCAGGTTTTTTTTGGGTCCCATCCGAGCAACTAGACTACTGTCCCTGTCAGGCCCTCCGTCATGCACCACTGACAAGGGGAAACCACGCCTGAATATCTTGATGAACTTTCTCAGCCAACACCAGAAGCAAACCTACAACCTCCAGGCTAGCAAGCTAACGTCTTACTCTCTTACTCACCGTGGCACACCCTCATTTGTACGCGAGAGTTCAAATTTTGAAATGGTCCCTTATAATTACCTGGAATGCAAGTTTAATTGTATCTTCAGTATTTGCTGGACCAGATACTAAAGATAATCCTATGATATACTCTCTAAAATCTATGGTTCCTGAACTATTCTGTAATATACATATAATATAAATTAGTTACATACACCTTAAGAGAGAAAGAGAGAGAGAGAGAGAGAGAGAGAGAGAGAGAGAGAGATGGGGTTAAACGTCCACTCGACACAGACTAGGTCATTTCGGGACTAACATATGGCTAAATTTTATTCAGGACTAACATATGGCTAAATTTTACTTCAATAATTTTCTTGCGCGTAGGGATCTTTAGCAATGAGAGGAAACCAGAGGACCCGGAGAAAACCTATGAGGTTGGACGGGCAACCCTACTCCTTGTCAAGTACAACCCGGGTTTCGAAAACCACGCCAGTTGACTCAATGACAGGCCTCATGATACAGCGCGCATGTGCTAAACATTTGGCCATCGAAACCACGCCAGTTGACTCAATGACAGGCCTCATGATACAGCGCGCATGTGCTAACCATTCGGCCATCCAACCCCCTTACCTACACCTTAAAGATACATTATGTGATATTAGATGAAGAGCTAGGCAGTTCTCACTATAATAGTTAATCAGTGGCTGTCAGGCAAGATAAGGCCACGTTTTGCAAGAGATGGATAGAGAACAAGCTAAACAAAAAGAAGATTTTTCGTAGAATCAAGGACCATCATTCAGGAAGTTATGATCCTATATGTGCGAATCAAGATCTTTAGGTTAAAAAGATATGTGTCATGTTTTATCAAAATTGGATCAAAATTGTGACCTCTAGAGGGTCCACAACATTGATATATCATATTTTTACACTATTTGCATATGAGGGGCAGCCATTTTGTCGGGCAGTTTTGGTCCAAGCTAAAAACATGATTTTTCGTATAATCAGGGGCCATAATTCAGGAAGTTATGACCCGATATGCGCAAATATCGAAAGATGCAATTCAAGTTTCCTCAAAATCAGATGAAAATTGTGACCTCTAGAGTATCCACAAGCTAAAAACGGGGTTTTTCCTACAATCAGGGACCATAATCCTTGAGGCCAACATCGAAAGGAACCGTGATCTTTTGGAGATAGACCTATATTTTAAGTTTTGTCAAAAACATATTTACTTGTCTTGTAAACAAAATTTCTCTTCAAGATCTCAATTCCTTCATATTTCATTTGTCTTATTTATTAAACATGCATTATGCAAGAGCAAAATCTGCTTATTACAAGTCTTTCTTTAGGCCTGAAATGTTATCTAAATTATCAATTAGACATTAATTAACTTATCCAGACCATAATAAACTCTCGATGTCAAGGCTAGCCTTCGATGTTGGCTGGATTAGATTCCTATATGCCGCTAACGGCCGTTGATAATTAAATCAATAAAAGTGGATAATCGAGACTAAGCTGTTTATATTAATGATTTTAGTAATGATGACCGAGACTATGCCAAAATTTCATCGCTTCTTTCTCGGTTCATAGTGGATCAATTTGACTGAAGTTTTCAGCAAATTACCTTTACACTATCTAGTTTTTAACTATTATAGCGAGAACTGCCATCTCATTATCTTATCTCCCATAATGTATCTTTAACGGCCAAAATGGACAATTTGTTACTGCATAATGTTTTTCAAAAGTGAACCCCTTTCCTGCTCTTGATTTATTTTTTAAAATATTGCCGAGAGCATCCACAAGATTTTTGAAAGTGATCAAGGGCCATAACTCTGGCAGTAATTATCGGAAATCGTTGAAAATCAATAGGCTTCTACGTCTCATATCCGTAAGCACTATGTATAACTTTAAAGTCAAACGGATATTGACTTTAGCCTCTAGAGCGTCCACAAGATTTTTCGAGGTGATCAAGGGCCATAACTCTGGCAGTAAAAACGTTACCATACAAGTTTTTAGGGGTAAAATCATAAATCGACTGGCCTATACATTTCGGGGGTCTATCAGGATTTAAAACTGTACTTCATTCTTAATCTATTAATAGATTAATCAGTCTCTTCCTATCAAACATCATTTAGACCTCCGATTTTATTTCGATTGCATTCGCCAGACATGTTTACTTCAATTGGCAAATAGTTAGACCACAAATATGACTACCAAAGACGTAGAAAGAGTTGGATTTGGCACCATAACGGCATGTTCTCAGGTCTAAATAGAAATCAACAAGGCCCGATAATACTTGGATGAGTGTTAAAGCCATCTTTCTATAAACATCATAAACAATGTTTAGACATAAACTATTCACATTATGGGTGTTTCTTTTTCAATCTATCGAGGTCATAAGGTCTGTCATTCAGTCAACTTGTGTGGTTTTGATTCGTATAAATTAGTTTACTGTTTTGTAATGCGGTTCTACTCCGTTTCACATTTGTCATGTTTTATTCACGGAACTGTGGGTAATCTACTAGCAACATCAATGCTGATTGGTTAATCAAATGTCCGACGTCAAAAGGGTCATAAGTCGGTCTTTTGACCCCTGACGTGACCTATCGCTATAACTTGTCAGATCTTCATGTAGTGTAGGCTATCGAAAGTATAAAAAAACGAAACGAAATTAAGATCTGTATTTTAATCAGATGGAGTATGATAGTTTATAAATAACTCTATCATACATGTGAGTTGCTCCCACAAAACCATAAAACCTGTCATTGAGTCAACTGGCGTGGTTTCGAATCCCCGGTTGTACGTCACAAGGAATAGGGTCGCCTGTCCAACCTCGTGGGTTTTCTCCGGGTCCTCCGGTTTCCTCCCACTATTAAAGACCCCTACGCGCAAGCGAATTATTGAAATAAAATTAAACCATGTGTTAGTCCCAAAATGACCTAGTTTGTGTCGAGTGGACGTTAAACCCCATTTCTCTCTCTCTCCCCACAAAACCAGGCTCTTGGTCATTTTTTTTTTATAAAAATAGAGCTGGCAGTATATTTGAATAGTCCACAGCCTAAGCTTTCCAAATATGCAATTTTTTTTAAATTTGTTGTTGAGTTGAGTTTGGCTCATTCACAGCAACAAAAAGGTATACAGTTTATGCTTTTGTGCCCGTAGTACAAAATGAAGTTATGCGACAAGCGTCTGGTTTTGTGGGAGCGGGTCACATATATCAAATATTTCCTGATTTCCTGTAGATTTAGAAACCCAGTTCTGTACAGCACAGTGGATGCTTATGGCTAGTCTCCAGATCCATTCACTTAATCTGGGGCCTGTTTCACGAAATTTTAACTAAGAGAAAATCCAAATTTTAGTAATTTGATTGGATAATATTAGATTGATTTTAGTGCTTAGCCAATCAAAATTGAAGTATCTCCTAAAATTTGGATTTTATCTTTAATTAAGATTTCGAGAAACAGGCCCCTGATGTGTATGTATTGTGTCTTGTCCGTAGTTTTGTTTTGTGTAATTGTGTGTGGTGTGGTCCTCCTGCACCTCCTAATACAGATAGATTAAGGAAATAAACTTACTCTATCATATGTATCAAATATTTCCTGTAATGTTGAAGAGACTGGTAAACGTAAATACATTGCAAATTCCTTTATCGTAATACTCCCCGCTTTGTTGTCTGTTATTTTACGGAATTTCTCTAAATGATCGTGCATCTGTGCAAATGATATTCTGAAAAACAGGATTTAAACAGTTTATGAAATTTGTTTTGAAGTTAAGCAATGCAATATGACCACTCAATCTAAATAATTTTCATATAAAATAACAAGTTCCCCAGACAACTGGAACACATTTATCAGCAGCAAAGAAAAGAATGACATTGAGAGAGTGGAGAGAGAGAGAGAGAGAGAGAGAGAGAGAGAGAGGGGGTTTATGTCCACTCTACACAAAATAGGTCATTTTGGGACTAATATATGGTTCAATTTTATTTCAATAAATTGCTTGCACGTAGGGGTTTTTAGCAGTGGGAGGAAACCGGAAGACCCGGAGAAAACCCACGGGTTTAGACAGGCAACCCTACTCCTTGTCACGTATGACAAGGGGATTCAAAACAATGTCAGTTGACTCAATGACAGACCTTATGATACAACAAACATGCACTAACCACTCGCCCCCCACCCCACCCCTGATGGCCAAGTGATCTGATTATTGACAATAAATATCTAAATAATAATTGACATAGCAATTGTAGCCAGAATAGGTAGATTTACATGCAAGCCTGGAAATAAGGCACCTGTCACAGACAATGTCAGGCACAGATTCAGGCTTTGTCAGGCACATAACCTCTGGTGCTTGCCATTTTGTCCGGCACTGATTTGTCTTTTTTTATTGATATTATTAATACGTGTTTGGTACTAGGTTGAAAATGTCAGGTACATTTTCATTAGTGCCTGACATTTTGTCCGGTACATGTAAAACCGTTATTTCCAGGCCTGTTTACATGTAGCTCTTATATAATGCATTTATATATAAACAAAATCAATTAGATCTGCAACTACAGTGCACTCTGTCACATCTGACCTCTGATCACTCCGGCACTCTGTTACATCCGACACCATTTTCATGTCCCGATTTATTTCCTTATTACTTCAGCCAAAAAATCTCTGGGTAATTCGACCTCTGTACGTTCCGGATTACGACATCAATCAGCCGTCCCGTCATAAGATTTCCATTGAATCGACACCGTATAATCCGGCCTTCAATCGGTGGGTGTGAAGCAAACACTTACCGATCAATTATCCGTGAGATTAAAACTGGATGGGTGTGAAGCCACAAAAGATTAACAAGCAATCACCAATCAATTATCTGTGAGATTAAAACTCGCTACCGTGGGTCTTTGTTGATTACTTTGATAATTTTAATCTCTTGTACGACAGTTGTGACAAATACTCAAGAATATCCACGAATTTTCCCCCGAATTCACAGTCGTAAAAATACTCCTATCACCTGTTGGAAACATTCGTTGCGCATGCCGATTGAACCTGAATAACCTATAAGTTTGGTAACCCTACGGATCTCTTCGAACCGTGTGCCGACGACCTGGGATGCTCGAGTCACAGTCCGGAACGTCCCGAATTGACAGAATTGCAATCGAGTGACGCGGAATTCAGTCCTGTCACAGTTCTGTCAGTCCCGACGACGGAGGTGGTGTGAGTAGAATTGTGACGTAATTAAACACTACGAACAGGTTTCGGCTGCATGGTTGGATGAGATATTTATATATCCAGTTGACGCATGCGTTGTAGTCCGAAGTACCCATGTTCACTCGATTGTCGCTACTTTTGGGATTGAGAGAATTCAATTAGGGAACGTTCAATCGAGTACGCCCATTATCAATTAACACGTGATAGCAAAGACAAGAGTGCGATAAACTGAAGACAGCGAAGAATATATATTAACGACAGATTTGACCTATTCAAAATGGATACGCATGTTAAATGAAATAAAAATTAATGTAACAAAATTTTAAATGTGCAGCAAGGTTTATCATTTCTAAAGGGAATAACATTCTGGTGATTCGAAGTTCTATGATCGAAGCTACATTTTAATAATACTTCCGGTTTTCGAAGTTACAATATTTCCGGTTTTGAGAAAACTGGGTATTCCGACACTCTGTGTAATCCGACATATTGTAACGATCCTGTACGATGTCGGATGTGACAGAGTGCACTGTATTTCTAATTCACGTTCTACACTTCACTTACCCTAATTTTTTGTGCAGTTTATGAAATTCTACGAGACCAGTTGCCATGGGAAGATTGAGTTTAGCAGCTCGGACCATTAGACGGCAATCATCATATGTATGATCTGTTATTGGACATTTCAAACATCTACAATAAAGTTTGTCAAATAATATTATACAAGTAACCCATGTAGTCAAATAATATTACACAAGTAGCCATCGTAGTCAAATATTATACACAAGCAGCCCATGTAGTCAAACATTACCAAAATAAAATCCCCTAGCAACACACTGATAAGACTGTGTAGACTATCTAAAAGTATTTACTCCAGGAAGCATAGCACTAAGATCCACATGACCTGCACTGTTCCACCCACTATTATAATACTAGATTTAGAGAAATGAAATGTTGTTTAACGTCCTACTGTTCTGCTCCGACTGGGCTAATAAAGACAGGCATACACCATACAGTGTGCTATTAGGGAAATTTTGCCCGGGCAGCGGCACTAAGGCCTACTCCTTTATCAAATTCAAACTGCCTAGGGATCTTTTACGCGCATGCCAATGTGTACATGGGACCTTGGTTTTTTTTTTGTCTCCTTCGAACAACTAGACAGCTGTCCTTGTCAGGCACTCTGTCCTGCACCACTGAGTACAAGGGGCTACACTTAGTGAGAAGTTGATTTGTCACAGTCGTGCAATTATTTAATCACTGTAGTCTCAGCTATCATGGTTGGTCGAGATAAGCAATTGGCACATGCGCTGCAGCCCGAAATCCACCTTTTCACTCGATTGGCACTATTTCCGGATCATTCAATCGGGTATCCCCACTAGGAATTTATGCTCACATATCACCTACATGTAAGGGAGATAATGTATTTAATGCCTATATAATATACATACAACATCTAGTCTTTAATTTATTCAAGACACACTTACTCTGCCATTTTGTCACGGACATGATTAGCGAAGACTTTAGCATCTTGTTTATCTTCTGGTGTTGGATAATAAACGGGTAAATACTGAAATATACAATAACATTATATCTCATAGCAGGGCATTTGCCAATAACATATCTCATGACAGTGACTGCCCTAGACATTCGCCAATAACATTATATCTCATGGCAGTGTTCACCCTAGACATTCGCCAATAACATTATATCTCATGGCAGTGTTCACCCTAGACATTCGCCAATAACATTATATCTCATGGCAGTGTTCACCCTAGACATTCGCCAATAACATTATATCTCATGGCAGTGTTCACCCTAGACATTCGCTAATAACATTATATCTCATAGCAGTGACTGTCCTAGGCATTCGCCAATAACATTATATCTCATAGCAGTGACTGTCCTAGGCATTCGCCAATAACATTTTATCTCACGTCTACTGCCCTGGCCATTCACCAATAACATTATATCTCAAGGCAGTGACCGCCCTATACATTCGCCAATAACATTATATCTCATGGGGTTGTTAAACGTCTTACTCTTCTGCCCCAACTGGGCTAATGAAGACCGGCATATGCCATACAGTGTGCTATGAGGGAAATTTTGCCCAGGTCGGCGGCACTACGGCCTACTCTTATATCAAATTCCAACTGCCAAGGGATCTTTAATGTACACGGCAATGTATATCTCATGGGATTTAACGTCCTACTCTTCTGCAACAACTGGGCTAATGAAGAATCTAGGAAAAAGGTAAGTGTTGTCATGCTATCATTAACCCATTTTTGACAATAGCGAATCAACTCGCACCAAGTGACTCACGGTAGCGAATCAACTCGTGGACCCATCATTCTTTGCAACGGCATTAGCGAACAAAAGCGCCAGATCAATCAACAGATTTCTATTGTGTTTATTTCATAAATTAATGGTGATTTAGTAATAGAAATAAAGCACCCAATGGCAAGGAATGTTATATTCGCCAATTATCGAATAAAAAACATACGTTTCAACAAAGGATCTTCCAGTATTTACGTAATAGGTCAGAGGTGAAAATTCACACCGTGTCAATGACTTTGGCAGTATTCCAATATTTTCATGTTGTCACTTACGGCTAATAATTTTATGATATGAAGAGTGAAATGGAATCAGATTTTTATGATTTACTGCCAGACATATCGTAGAATATGATAATGTCGAAGAAATCAACTATTTTTTTTTTTTTGGGGACGTTATGATGCGAAGAACACGGATACTCGAGCCGAGATCAAGCGTGTCGCCGCCATCTTGGATACGGTACGCTTTCAAACAGACGATAGAGACTTTTGGCAAGCGCAATTTCCTGGTCCGTATCGCGTATCCGTATGGATTTTGCGTGTGACGTCATCAATGTCTGTGTATTTCTCATACGTGATACAGCACACGGATACGGCAGCACGTATGGAACGGCTTTCATACAGAAATGGTCCGTATAACACTGTCGTCTTTTTACCGTCTTTTTTGCTACTTTTAGACGCTGAAATGTTGCATCATATCGTTTTATGAATCTATGTGTATAATAGAACACGAAGGTGTATATTTGATCTGATTTTAACAGTGATAACGACTGGAATTTAATCATTATTTTTGATGGGTTTTTCTCGGAATTTATATATTTTTCCCGCCTGTCTGCATACTGGCTAAACTTTCTGAAATGATACATTAGTGAAACCAAAAATTGCTAAAATCTGCCAAAACTCTAAAACTACATTGACGCAACGTATCACGTATACGATACGGATACGGGATACGGATGGGAAAAATCCGCTTGCCAAAAGTCTCTGATAACACAAAACTTACGGCTAATAATTCTAGACTTTGGAAAACTAAATTCAATCAAAACTTTTGGGATTTAATACAAGCTACATAGAGGAATATTACATTGTCGAAGATTTCAACTATATATTTTTATTTTCGACGCAATAAAGCAAAGAAGACGATCATATATCCAAAGAAAGGCAGAAATGTTAAAATGCCGATAGCGATGAAATGACCGTCACTTGGGGTGATATTTCTTTTTAAAAGTTATATTTACATTTACTTTGAACACTGCTGCCAACGTGAGGGACTATATTTGTGTTCTATTTTTAAAAAAATATTATTAGGGGATACTCTTGTTCACGTTATTTTACCATTATGACAGAGAAAAGTCATAATTTTAGTGGAACTGACTTTTCAGTGTTATTTATAGTAATATAATTTCTACTTTGTAAAATTGAATTTTATATCATTGGAAAGAACACGACAATCTGTACATTTTTGTAACAGAGTATTTCTATGTATAGAAAATATTTTTTTAGTTATTTGCAATTTTGTAGAGGGTATTAGGATTAACAATAATAGGGTGACCCACCATAAAAAAATATCTCCAAATATCTCGACAATTACGCCACAATATTTATATATATGCCAAGCCTCAAATCAGTTTCACACAATTATAGTCACTAAATAAACGATCATGTTGTACTTAATGAGCTATGACCATTAATCATCTATAAATAATATACTGAAAACTGGTTCCAAGTTGCGTCCATAACATCCAGACACTTTTGAGTAAAAGATAGGTTACGTGCCCTTGTTTTGAAATTAGTCTCGCTTAACCAGTCTATCGACCATTCTACGTCTGATTGACAGGTCGGGATAATCAAGACTACTTTTTTACGAAACATAACAGAAAGCTAGAACAAGAAATTGAATTTAGAAATAAGCACTTTAGACAACTCAACAATTGTTTTAAGAAACTTGTAAAAGTAAAATGAAACTACTGCTAGTATCATGTTCCTGCTAAAGAAAGTGATTCAGAGATAGTATTTGTACTAAACCAAAAGATGCCGCTCTTAACGGTACAGTTAATGATAAAGCAATTTAAAAAATAAAACAAACGTAATTACTAAAGCTGCTGTAATAACCAAGAAGCTAAATTTTACTGCTATTCAAAAACGTCAACAATAGATTTTTTACGGCTGTAATAGTTGATATATTTGTAGAGAATTGCACGTGCCATGGCTATTTATCGACTCAAAGCGAGTGCGGGGTAGTCAGAAATCAGTTCGAGACACGCAACTGAAGCGTGCACATTTAGCCGTGTCGAGACCAACTTTCTGTAAAGTGCACGGGTCACCCTAACAATAATCCACTAATTGGCTTAGGAAGATGGGCCCTGCTGATTTAATTAGCTTAGGGGTAGGGCAGCTAATCTTTTAATTGGCTCAGGGCAAATCCCGATAATATTTTGGCGAATAAAACTGCTTAATTTTGTGTTAAAATCCCTTAAAATCCTCTACCTAAGAGCCGAGCAACTAACTCAATGTTTGTCATACATTTTCAAACAACTTAAACCCACCAGTCTTCATCTGGAAATGGAGACCAGTGTCCAAACTGTATTATACGGTGTCTGAATAAAACCAGACTTTTATTTTATAAAAATAATGTGTAGGTGAAATTTACCCTTCGTTATGAAGTCCAGCACACGGACTGTATAGACCCTAAAGAAACGGGAATCAGGTCGCCCAACGAAAAAATTGACCCAAAATCTTAAAAGGGTCACGTGCCCGGATAAGCATTTTTGACTTTCATGTCCAAACGACTCAATATTTTGAGCTGAAATTTTGAGACAAGGTAAATTCACCATTTCTCTATATTTGGGCGTTTAAATTTCATACGTACTCGAACTTTTATTTTTGAGACTCTGTTCCAATCGGGATAGTCCCTTTAAGTTTACAAGAAATGAATATATAGAATAAAGAAATGAAATGATATGGGTTTAACGTCCTACTGTTCTGTCCCGACTGGGATAATGAAGATGGGTAAACGCCCAGAGGATACAAGACCGGAAAATCCTGTGGAACCAAGATAGAAGCCGGGACCTCAAGCTAACGAAGATGGGTATACACCATGCAGTGTGCTACAGCCTACTCTTACTCTTATATCAAATTACAACTGCTAAGGGTCCTTTACGTGCATGCCAACGTGCACAATTGACAAGGGCGAACCATGCTGAAAATTTTCGTCATAATTGGATCAAAATTGTATTCTGTAGGAGAGTGTCCACAAACAAAATGTGAACAGACAGACGGACAAACAGGAGCGACGACAATATACGTCCAAACAAATGAAAATATGGGCGTATAAACATAAAGCAATGTTGCCACCATATTGTATTGTAATGTCAAAATCATTATTAAAGATCAATAAAAAAAAACGTGCTTACCTCAATTTCCATATAATTATGAAACTGGCATAAGGTCAGCCACAGTAGTGTAAAGCTACAAAAAAAAACAATTTTATACAAGGCCATAGACAAATAAATAATCTGGTTACCAGAGACAATCCTTCCTAAAAATTAGATGTGGGGGGGGAGAGAGAAAGAGAGAGAGAGAGAGATGGGGTTTCATGTCCACTTGACACAAACTAGGTCATTTCAGGACTAACATAACATATGGTTCAATTTTATTCCAATAATTTGCTCGCGCATAGGGGTCTTTAATTAGCATTGGGAGGAAACCAGAGGACACGGAGAAAACCCACAAGTTTGGACAGGCGACTCTACTCCTAGTCACATCCCGGGAATCAAAACCACGCCAGTTAATTCAATGACAGACTTTATGGGAGGAAGGTTTTTGTTTTTGTCAAAGGATCACTAATTTGAAGGCAGACATTTATCTCATCATGTATGATAGGATTGTTTTTTTGATAAGTGTGCCAACGGTCCATTTCCAGAATAATTTGAATTTTTAATGGAGTTACTTCCTGTAACCTGGGGAAAACGTTTAAGCGCAGTAATTTAAGCGCAGTAATTAATGAGACGGTTTTTATTTATTATTTTTGAAAATAGAAAAACAGGTCATGCGGCTCTTTTTAAGTGACGTGGGGGTGGTGTTGGGGTAGGGGAGAGAGATGGCTGAATGGTTAGCACGTGCGCGCTGTATCGTAAGTCTGTCATTGAGTCAACTGGTGTGGTTTCAATTCCCCGGTTGTACCTGACAAGGAGTTTGGTTGCCTGTCTAATCTCATGGGTTTTCTCCGAGTTCTTCGGTTTCAGCGAATTATTGAAATAAAATTGAACCATATATTAGTCCCAAAATGACCTAGTTTGTGTTGAGTCTCTCTCTCTCCTCTCTTCTCTCTCTCTCTCTGAGAACCAGAATAGTTCTATTACATGTCCTAATGTAGCTAAGAGTATTGTAATTATAATTATATCATGGAATAAGATTAATGATATCATAATACATCTAGTAGTAATTATACTATTATAATCACGTAATATATAGTAGTAATTATATTATTATAATCACGTAATTATTAAGGCCAATACACACTGTAACTGTAAGTCTTGTGTCTGAAACACTTTTAGCAGTACTGGTAATTACACTATTATAAACATGTAATTATCAAGGTCAGTACACACTGTAAGTCTTTGTCTGAAACAATTTTAAAGCCCCTGATCGTCAAAGACTACTATGTGATGGCATATTTATTATTGAACCATCCAGACTAGGAAGTCAAAGACTATTATGTTATAGTATAATTATCATTGAACCATCCAGACTAGGAAGTCAAAGATTACTACAAGATCGTATAATTATGATTGAACCATCCAGACTAGGAAGTCAAAGACTACTATGTGACAGTATAATTATTATTGAACCATCCAGAACTGGGTGTATGTGAAGTTGTGAACGAAGATATTTTTGGTAATTTGCTTTGATAAAAAGGACAGCATAGAAGAGAGAGAGAGAAACTGTGTTTAACGTCCACTCGACACAAACTAGGTCATTTCAGGACTAACATATGGTTCAATTTTATTTCAATAATTTGCTTGCGCTTAGGGGTCTTTAGCAGTGGGGGGAAACCAGAGGACCTGGAGAAAACCCACGAGATTGGACAGGCGACCCTACTGCTTGTCACGTACAACCGGGGAATCGAAACCCCACCAGTTGACTCAATGACAGAAATGAAATGAAATGGGGTTTAACAACCTACTTTTCTGCTCCTAAACTGGGCTAATGAAGACGGGCATAAGCCATACAGTGTGCTATGAGGGAAATTTTGCCCGGGCAGCAGCACTACCGCCTACTCTTATATCGAATTCCAACTGCCAAGGGATCTTTTACGTGCACGCCAATGTGTACACGGGACCTCGGTTTTTCATCCCATCCGAACGACTAGACAAATGTCCTTGTCAGGCCCTCCGTCCTGCATCACTGACAAGGGGAAACCACGCTGGAAAATCTGGATGAACTTTCTCGGCCAATGCAGGGATGGAACACCCGACCTCCAGACTAGCGAGCCAGCGTCTTACCCACTTAGCCACGTGATCCCCTCTCAATGGCAGACCTTATGATACAGCGCTCATGTGCTAACCATTTGGCCATCCAACCCCCACAGCAGAGAAGTGGTAACAAGCTAATTGGTGAATATTTTATAATAAAAAAACTTACGCTCCAGGACCTTCCCATGTCCAGGTAATGGTATCCTAAAGAAAAAAAAATTTAATTAAGTAATATATAGATAGAACTCAATGGTTCAAGAACCATTGAATAACCCGAGCAGTATTCAATGGTCATTGAGTTCTGTTTTTATTCTATAACTACATGCAAATCACAAAATACACTGTACTATCTAAATTATCATAAAAAATCATTACCACTCACGTTAAAATTCCGTCCTTTTTTCTTTCTTTTTTACAAAAATTGTGGTTGCCTAGTTGTGACGTCATTACAGTTTGACGTAGTTCTGTAAGTGACGTCATTCTGGACAAAAGTAGTACATTTTCAAGCCATTGAATACAACTATAGGTTATTCAATGGCCATTGAATACAACTATAGGTTATTCAATGGCTGTATTCAATGGCCGTATTCAATGATATTTGCTTGTTTTTGCAGGTAGTTATAGAATAAATTTTAAAACAGCATATTGGTCACATCGATGTCAATTTCATTATTCACAGTATTCAAATATTCAATTGAATGGAAATGGCCGATTTCTGGAACGTTTTTGATGCATTTTCATCTTTCAAATCAATATAATTTCCCCTTTCGGATTATTTTTGAACATTAGCTGATTTCACTAGGCTAATGAAGACGGTCATACGCCATACAGTGTACTATGAGGGAAATTTTGCCTGGGCAATTGAGCTCTTCCTCCAAATTCCATCTGTCAAGGATTCTTTTACAAGCATGCCAATGTGTACCGTTTTTTTTTTTGTTTTTTTTTTCTCCCATCCAAACGATGATATGTTGCCCCTTGCCAGGCCCTCTGTCCTGCACAAGACTGAGACACGGGGGGAACCACATCTGAAAATCCTGATACAGTTTCTCGGTCACAGGACCTCAAAGTTAGCGAGCCACCATCTACCCACTGAGTCACCGTGACTCCCTTCACTGAATCAATATTAATAGATATGTCATAGGAGACAAAAAATAGCTCAAATACCATTAGATGGAATGAATGAATGAAATATGGTTTTATGGCACGTCAGCTCCAACTGGGCTATATTGCGCCAGACATATGAATACCATTAGACATTGAATAATGAATTTTAAAAAAATCCGGCCAAGAGCCTTGAAAAACTCTTTTAATTCAAAATGGTACACAGTGAATTGCGCTCTGCTATCAGTATTTACCGGTATATAATGTAATATTTATACAGTGAATATGAAATATACACCTGAACATTTTTATCAGTATTTACCAGTGTGAATACCTGAATAGTTGTATCATTATATACCAGATATTATAATATTTAATCCTTATAAGACATTTAGAAGTAGATTTCACAAATTAAGAACAATTATATGGATATACTACTACGTTTCGATATACATACAGATATCGTTATCAAGCAAATTATGATATATAACAAAAATGTGGTGCAATATACAGATAACAATGATTAAATCATATAACAGATTAATCATTAATTAAGAATTAACAAGATGACAGAAGTAATATTACTTGATAACGATATTTGTATGTGTATGATAATAAATTCAGAAGTAGTATATCCATATAAGTGTTTTTAATTATAATATTTGTACTGTGAAATATATCTGTTTAAACCAGATATTATAATATTTGTACAGTGAATATGAAAGATATGCCTGAACAGTTGTGGGTGTTTTTAAAAAAAAATCAATAGACACACATGCCGTTTTCTTATCAAAATCAATAAACTAAATAAATGATATTACAATTTTTACTCTATTCTGTTAAAGACTTCGATGAAGTCTAATATTACACCTTTTCTTAAAGATGCATATTACAACAGGGGTGGCTCCATTGTGGGAGGGGGGTGGGGGGCAACAATGCTTGCTCAGCTACAAATAATTTTTTTTAAAACAGCAGTTTTATGAGAGAAGTGTCGTGGTCGTGTGCTTTATCCTTATCATCAGATGGTGGGTTTGGGATGGGCATTAAAAGAGCGATATAATGATACTGACATACATGATACAGGCAAGATACACCCAAATTTTGCAAGAGATGGATAGAGAACAAGCTAAAAGAAAAGCCATTTTTCATACAATCAGGGTCCATAAACCAGGAAGTTATGGTCTGAAATGCGCAAATATCGAAAGGCACTAAGATCTTTGGATTATAAAGATCTTTGGATTATAATCGTTGAAAAAAATGCCAATATCGATATCTAGAGTGTCCACAAGATTTTTCAAAGTGATCAAGGGCCATAACTTTGGCAATAAAAACGTTACCTTACAAGTTTTTAGGGGTAAAATCATAAATCGACTGGCCTATACATTTTCGGTGGTCTATCAGGAGTTAAAACTGTACTTCATTTTGAATCTATTAATAGATTAATCAGTCTCTTCCTATCAAACATCATTTAGACCTCCGATTTTATTTTGATTGCATTCGACGGACATATTGGCAAAGAAAGGCTGCCAGGCAAAGAAACATACGCCCACAGCAGCTAAATCGTCAGGGCAGTCAACAAATGTTGTCGCATATTTTTACTTTTTTCGGTAATGAAATATTTATAATACACTAAAATCTGATTAAGAGTAACAACTCATGAAGTAATTATCAGAAAACCATTAGAATTTGTTTGGTTTTTATAAAGTTCTGCCCCATGCTAACATTTAGTATACAAAACTTTTAATATCATGAATTTAGCTGTTCGAGTCTTTTATAAAAATTCATTGAAAATCAATATACTTGTTCGTCTCAAGATCTTAAACTCTGTGTATCAATCTGAAGTCAATCGGATGATAACTTTAGCCTCTAGAGCGTCACAAGATTTTTCAAAGTGATCAAGGGCCATAACTTTGGCAGTAATTATCTGAAATCGTTGAAATTCAATAGGATTCTTCGTCTCAACCACTGTGTATAAATTTAAAGTCAATCGCTGAAAATTAATAGGCTTCTTCTTCGTCTCATGACCTTAAACATTGTGTATAAATTTTAAGTCAATCGGTTATTAACTTTACCCTCTAGAGAGAGAGAGAGAAATGGGGTTTAACGTCCACTCGACACAAACTAGGTCATTTCGGGACTGACATATGGTTTAATTTTCTTTCAATAATTCACTTGCGCGTAGGGGTCTTTAGCAGTGGGAGGAAACCGGAAGACCCGGAGAAAACTCACGAGGTTGGACAGGCAACCCTACTCCTTGTCACGTACAACCGGGGATTCAAAGCCACGCCAGTCGACTCAATGACAGACTTTATGATAGAGCGCGCGCACGCTAACCATTCAGCCATCCAACCCCCCTTAGCCTCTAGAGCATTTACAAGATTTTTCAAAGTGATCAAGGGCCATAACTCTGGTAGAAAGTATCGGAAATCGCTGAAAATCAATAGGCTTCTTCGTCTCATGGCCTTAAACACTGTCTATAAATTTAAAGTCAATCAGATATTAACTTTAGCCTCTAGAGCGTCCACAAGATTTTTCAAAGTGATCAAGGGCCATAGCTCTGGCAGTAATTATAGTAAATCACTGAAAATCAATAGGCTTCTTCGTGGTCTATCAGGAGTTAAAACTGTACTTCATTTTGAATCTATTAACAGATTAATCAGTCTCTTCCTATCAAACATCATTTAGACCTCCAATTTTATTTTGATTGCATTCGATGGACATGTCCACATCGATTGGCAAAAAGTTACACCGCAAATATGACTACCAGAGACGTAAAAAGAGTTGGATTGGGGGTCAGAACGGCATGTTCTCAGGTCTAAATAGCAATCAACAAGGCCTAATAATACTTGGATGACTGTTAAAGCTATTGATGTAATTTTAAAATATCTTTCTATAAACATCATAAACGATGTTTAGACATAAACTATTCACATTATGGGCGTTTCTTTTTCAGTCTATGTTTCAATTTTATTTCAATAATTCGCTTGCGCATAGGGGTCTTTAGCAGTGGGAGGAAACCAGAGGACCCGGATAAAACCAACGAGGTTGGACAGGCGAGCCTACTCCTCGTCACATACAACCAGGGATTCGAAACCACGCCAGTTGACTCAATGACAGGCCTTATGATACAGTGCGCACATGCTAACATTCGGCCATCCAATGGACGGACAAACGTGACGACAATATACGTCCACATATATATGGGCATATAAAAATTCATTTTCCATATTTGTCAAATGTAAACTTTTACCTTTTGTGTTATATCATTAGAAGTATATTTTAGCCTATTTTAAAATTTTTGTTTGTATCGTAAAATACTGATTTTGTTATCATGGGTCATATAGACTTTAACATTAAAGGAGCTAAATCGCTAATATTTGGGTCCTAGGAATTGACCCAAATGGGTCGGCAACACATATAGTAATATAATATGAATGTATATAAACTGATTTACATTCAATCGTTTCCGGTTTTTTGTTCTAATTTCAAATCAGTTATGTTTGGCGAAATACACCAGAAGTCTCAATCGAGTGACAATCTCTAGCGTCTGGTCATTCCAGTCTACATAGTATTTATTGCGCATGCTCTCCAGATGAGAGTATGTCGTCACCGTTTGACATGACTTGTGGAATATGTCCAGCCTTGTTCTTCGAGTCCTTTGTTAGAAATGGGACTGAAACGCATTATGGTACACGATTAGAACTTTTAAATTGACAAATAATTTGTGTATTCAATGTCGAGGACTTTGGATGATATTGAGTTAAAGACTTAGCTACTTTAAAAAGAGAGTAAAATTGTTTGTCAACTTACAAATTTATTTGGATATCTAATACAGACAGGCTGAACTGGTTGACCAGGATAAAATGCACCTATAAAAATATATGAAATTAAAATCAATATTATTTTAAACATGTAAATATTTGACAAAATCATAGCTTATACCCCCGTCAGACTGGGGTGGCGTCCTTACTGCGACGAAAAATGGCAGCAGAGCGCGACAAGATCGCCATAAGCGCGGAAAAAGTGTGGTGGAAACGCCATATATCGTGCAGTGGTCTCCATGGTCGTGAATGATCGCCTAGTCACCGCGTTTGTTTTAAGCATGTTCAAAACAAACGCCAAGGCTCTGGGATCTAACCTAGAAAGTTGTAATGCCCCCGTCAGATCGGTTGGCGTCCTTACTGCGCTGCAGCGACCGTACAGCGACCAGAAAATACACAAGGTCACCGGCAAACGTGAACACAACATACGAAAATGTCCCAAAATATTACGAACTTGAAAAAACAAATTGCGTTTTCGCATCTTTCCAGGGCAGATCGCGAAACCATGGCGTTTGTTTTGAACATGCTCAAAACAAACGCCGTGACTCGGCGATCATTTGCGACCATCGAGACCACGGCGCGATATCTGGTGTTTCCGCCACGGTTTTACCACGCTTATGGCGATCTTGACGCCCTCTGGGGCCATATTCCGTAGCAGTAGCAGCGCAGTAAAGGCGCCACCCCAGTCTGACGGGGTAAAGAACGCGACTTCTTTCAAGTTTGTAAATTTTGGGGGACATTTTCTCGCGTTGTGTTTACGTTTGCCGGCGGCCTTGTGCATTTTTCAGTCGCTGTACGGTCGCAGCAGCGCAGTGAGGACGCCATCCGGTCTAACGGGGGCATAAGATTTAATCCTTTAAATGCTTTAACTTAAAGCATTTAAAGGATTATATCTGCACATGTATGTCGAGTCACGAGGCGAATCTACAAAATGCATAGCAATCCTGAAATCAACGCGACTAGCAAAAGGTCAAATTTAATCCTCCTACATATATTACATATTTGTACAGTAATTCTGCCCAAGTAACTCTCATGGGGGCCTAACTTAAACAAACATTATGCAAGAGCTAAATCTGCCTATAGCCGGTCTTTCGTTAGGCCTGAAATGTTATCTAAATTATTAATTAGACATTAATTAACTTATCCAGACCATAATCAGCTCTCGATGTCATTGCTAGCCTGCAATAATTACTGGATTAGGATCCAATCTGCTGCTCAACGCTCATTCATGATTAAATCAAGAAATGGATAATCGTGACTATGGATTTAATCGTACCGACTATAGTAATTATGATCGCGGTTAGGCCCAAAATTCAATCGCTAAATTCTCGGTTCAGAGTGGATCAATTTGACAGAAATTTTCAGCACATTCCCTTTACATTATCTAGTTATTAACTATTATAGTTATAGTGAGAACTGTCAGCTCTTTATCTAATCTCCCATAATGTATCTTTAAACAATCTCTAAATTATGTCGCACAAAATCTTAAATTTATGTCAGGATTCAGGACCTTCGATTAAAATGTCCGGGTTCGAACTTTGCCATTGTGCCAATCTGGAGTCTTGACACATGGCAAACTTCCAACCCAGACATTCTAATGGAGAATCCTGATGGTCAATGGGCCTTTTACGTAACTACCAAAGGCTTTTTAAGGTAACTACCAAAGATCCTTTTACATAGTAACCAAAGGTCCTTTTATGTAACTACCAAAGGCTCTTTTACGTCACTACCAAAGGTCCTTTTACATAACTATAAAGGCTCTTTTACGTAACTACCAAAGGCTCTTTTACGTAACTACCAAAGGTCTTTTTACGTAACTACCAATGTTTTTTTTACATAACTACAAAGGCTCTTTTACGTAACTACCAAAGGCTATTTTATGTAACTACCAAAGGCTCTTTTACGTAACTACCAAAGGTCTTTTTACGTTACTACCAATGGTCCCTTTATGTAACTACCAAAAGTTTTTTTTACGTAACTACCAAAGGCTCTTTTACATAACTACCAATGGTCCTTTTACGTAACTACCAAACATTTTTTTTACATAACTACCAAACTCTGTTTTACATAACTACCAATGTTTTTTTACGTAACTACCAAAAGTTTTTTTTACGTAACTACCAATAGTCCTATTATGTAAATACCAAAGTGGTAGTTACATAACACTACCAATGGTGCTATTATGTAACTACTAAAAGTTTTTTTTTACGTAACTAACAAAGGCTCTTTTACATAACTACCAACGGTCTTTTTATGTAACTACCAAAAGTCATTTTACGTAACTACCAAAGGTCCATTTACGTAACTACCAAAGGTATTTTTACGTTAGTACCAAAAGTCCTTTTACGTAACTACCAAAGGTCCTTTTACGTAACTACCAAAGGTCCTTTTACGTAACTATCAAAGATTATTTTACATAACTACCAAAGGTCTTTTTATGTAACTACCAAAAGTCCCTTTATATAACTACTAATGGTCCCTTTATGTAACTACCAAAGGTTATTTTATGTAACTACCAATGGTCCTTTTATGTAACTACCAAAGGCTCTTTTACGTACCTACCAATGGTCCTTTTATGTAACTCCCAAAGTTTTTTTTTACATAACTACCAAAGGCTCTTTTACATAACTACCAACAGTCCTTTTATGTGCGCATCAAAATGTACATGAGTTACATATGGACCTTGATTTTGTTTTCCAAAAGAATTATTAAAACAAAATTGAACCATATGTTAGTCCCGAAATGACCTAGTTTCTCTCTCTCCATCTCCTATTATAGCACAATCAATAGCCATGTCTAATCTCATACTAGAGAAATAATTATAGCTGGAGTCAAGCTTACACGTTAATCACATGACCTAAAACAATACTAACCCTATATACAGCACATTTTATTCCTAACAAATTAGTTTATCCACTGTGTTATAAATTACAATATGGTATCTGGCAGTCTCAACGGTTAATCAATACTGTTAAATGATTAATCACAATACAAGCAGGTCAGAGTATCGGGTTCTGTTGTTGTATACATGTAGTAACAAGCTTACCTGGTTTAAAGGTAATAGTAACAAGCTCACCTGGTTTAAAGGTAATAAGGCACGATCTGTTGGTACAGGTACCCTCGGGGAAAATAATAACCTGTGGCCATTCCCCTTTTGACTGGGCACGTCGTGAAATTTCTTTAATGGTGTTGACACGAGAGTCAGGGTCCTCTCGTTTAACGTATACGGGTTGGGTGAACTGCATCAAGGCTGACAAAATAAAATTATTATATATTCATGAAAATTACTGACTTTGGGGTAGTTTGGATTTCATTCAAATATAATTCTGACAAGATAATTAAAAGCTTGTTTATTTCTAATTACTATTACTATTAAGACATGAAATTGAAAGATAGAAATTAATTTTACTGTTATTTTTAAAGCTCATTTATCAGAATAGAAAACAGATTGTTATGTAGGCATGTTATAAGTAATTTGACATTATAAGGTACAGATCCTAAATCTTATTTAAGGCCCTAAGTTCACAAAGCATTATCAGCCTTAAGTTAAGAATTCACTCAAAATTGTTCGCCTTATTTTAACTAAAATATATCCCTTTATAAAACTTTTGTTGTTTTAATGTATCAAATACATAAGTACGAAACTATGTGCAAAGTTTTGTGTTTCTGGAGCAAAGATATTTCTCATAAACAGTGATTGAAAGTTGAATAAATTCTTAACTTAAGTCTGAGAAAGCTTTGTGAACTTGGGGCCAGATCATTAACCATGATAATGTGTATTTTGAAAATTTTAAAAATTATTCCAAATCATTAATTCAAATTTAATCCAATAATAGTTGCCACATCTGCGATGGAATAATGGACAATAATACTACTAGCAGGGGCGGATCCAGGATTTTCAGAAAGCGGGGGTGTGCTGCCTCCACTTGGAAGTGCGAAGCCAGGCCCTCGGTGGGCGGACTGACGGGCAATCAACCAAGTCACCAACTGGATCATTTTGGAATAAATTACAACAGGGACCACTACCATTTTTAAGTATTTTTGTTCTCCTTTGCCGCAAATTGTTCGCCACCGCATAAATTAATGGGGGGGGTTGCGTGCGTGCGCTGGGTGCATCCGCCCCCCCCCCCCCCCCCCCGGATCCACGCCTGACTAGCCAAAATAAAGATCTGTACCTTATAAAGAATCAAAGAAAATTATATAGAAACAACTTTTAAAATATTCATAAAATTGAAAATATTAGATGTGAACACACAGAAGTTTTTTTATGAAGAAACCACGTTCCCCAAAAGAGTTTTGATTTCAGATTGTTAGATAATTTGCAACACAAAAAAAACGTCACATCAAACGAAAAATGATTTCGAGGAAACCAGAATATTCTTTCACCATGGAAACCATTTGCAATAAAATAAAATCTTACTACAGTAAACACTGCAAAACATTTAGGCTGCTATAACATGTGAGTATACAGCATTTGGTATACGTTTAGAGGTATACGCGAATACTGGTGTTTGAACAACAGGAATTTGTTTAGTGGTTTACATCGGACTAGAGGGATATAGGGGCACGCTATATGTGTATACATGGTATCGTGCATGTTCGTTTTTTGGGGGTTTTTTCAGCGTATACTTGCAACAGGGAGAAGTAAATTCCATGAGGTGAGTAGAAAATGGTGTGTTTGTGTTGTAAAAGGTTTGAATGAAAAGTTCTGAACATCGATGGACATATCTCTAGACATGGAAGATTATTCTCGATTCTCCTGAACCTACGGAACATGACTGCAACAACGCCATCATCAACAAGTACACAGCTTTTGGAACCAATTGTGACAACTTAACCCAAGGTGTCATAATTCCACGACGTCATCAAGCAAAACATAGAAACTTGCATAGAGACACAAGAAGAAATGTGGGGTCGAATGCACTTTAGATCATACAGTCTGTCATTGAGTCATAGGGTCATCTGCTTTACCCCATGGGTATATTGTACTCTGGGTTCTCACACTGCTAAAGACCCCCAGGCACACGCTAATCATCAAAATTAAACATATATTATGCAAGAGGTAAATCTTCCTATTGCAGGTCTTTCTTTAGGCCTGAAATGTTTTCTAATTATTAATTAGACATTAACTAACTTATCCAGACCATAATCAACTCTCGATGCCATCCTATGTGTCCAATTTTCACTGGATTCGGATCTAATCTGCTGTTCAACGTCTATTGATGATTGAATACAAAAATGGATAAGCTAGACTTTATTAATTATCATGACAGCGGTAACAGTGATAATCATGACTGCAATGACTTTAAAATAGGGGTTTCTTGGTTAAAGAATGAAGCAATTTGACTAAAAATGTCTGCATATTCCATTTACATTATCTGGATTTTGGGAAATGCCAGCTCTTTTTCTAATCTCCCATAATGTATCTTTAAGTTGCATCATGTTTGTTGTCTCTAAATGACCTAGTTTGTGTCCAGTAGAGGTACCACCCCGCCTCATCCACACTTTCGTGATTGACTTTGCTTCATATCCGTGCCACCAAGAATCTCAACAAGTTATTGTCAAACCATTTCGTCATCCATTTTAGTTTTTAGATTCTTCATTGTTATAAATTTTCTTTGGTTACAAAATATGGCTGCACTCCTGGAAATTAAGTCCTCATTTGTAATTGGTTTGCGTTGAATTACTCGTTTGGCTGTGGACACACTATTAGTCTGGTAATGGCAAATTTAAAGGTCACTGGAAAAGCTTCATAAATTTTTTGAAATAATGCAAGTAATTATGTCAACATATCCTTTCCATAATTATAACACGAACCCGAATGTCAATGTTACCTGCTATACAGGTAAATTTCAATGTTACCTGCTATACAGGTAAATTTCAATGTTAGTAATTTCTGCCATTCTCCGTGAGTAGTCGTAACCTTCTGTCAATAAACAATCCATGGTGTCATTTTAGTCTTTCAGTTACAGAAATATAGACTAGAATATGAGCAGAAGGGAGAGAGAGAGAAATGGGGTTTAACGTCCACTCGACACAAACTAGGTCATTTCGGGACTAACATATGGTTTAATTTTATTTACTTAATTCGCTTGCGCGTAGGGGTCTTTAGCAGTGGGAGTAAACCGGAGGACCCGGAGAAAACCCACGAGGTTGGACAGGCGACCCTACTCCTTGTCACGTACAACCGGGGATTCGAAACCACGCCAGTCGACTCAATGACAGACTTTATGATACAGCGCGCGCACGCTAACCATTCAGCCATCCAACCCCCCATGAGCAGAAGGACTAAAATGATGTCACAGATTGTTTATTGACGGAAAGTTACGACTGTTGCAGGTAATATTGATATTTGGGTTTGTGTTATACTTATGGAAAGGATATGCTGACACAATATTGTAGATTTATATGTGCCAGTTCCATCCACAAATAAATTCAGGCAAGTCACTGAAGTGACCACCTTCAAATTCTCTAATTTTTCAACATATTGTACTATTTAGTACTACAATCAAAATTATATAAAAAAAAAATCGCTATTTTTGTCGGTTGCCATGATATGGGAGCTTGAAAATTTACCCAAATTTTCAAAAACAGCTTTTGAAGAACTATAACTGAAAAAATAAATAAGTTTTCAAATTTCTTACAAACAAATCAAGAAAACCATGTGGTAAGCGGTTCCATAAAATAGCTATATATTGCCTCATTTTTACCAATAGGAATCCCATGAAAGATTGATCGGTCTAAAAACTGTTCAAAAACCATTTAGTACATTTCAAGGATATGTGGAATTCAAATTTCATTGATCTATGCTGTTCGCTATGTAATATTATAAAGTCTGCTGCAGTGGTTAGTTCTAAATAATAAGGCCAGCTCAATTTTTTGTCATGGGTCACCACTCACGAGATGTAAACAAGGCTAGTGCTAATCCCAACCCTAACCCTGGACCTAGTCCCCAATGCTTATCCTAACCCTAACCAACAATCACGAGCCCTAACCTGATTGACATCTCAGCGACCTTGACAAAAATTGAACTGACCTTAACAAATAGATTTAGCCCTGCTGCTGTGTTGGGATATCAAAATTTTTCTTGTCGGATAATTTTACCGAAAATAAAGGGGCATAACTTTTCATATAAGTGTACAATTTAACATGATACCATTGCAGCCTTACCATGTTTAGCATTAATAGCAATATGCAAGCATTAATATCTTGATGTACAGAATATATAGGTTTGAATTAACCTGTAAGTAAAATGTGAAATAAAGGTGTTTACTAATAACTAAAGATGATTTCAGACAGATTTTGAGAGTGAAAAACATGTAAATCACTGCAAATTGAAAAAAAATACTGTGCTAATCCGAAAGTGTATAAGGGTGTTTACTACTAATAATGCTAGGTTTCCACCGTCATCGATGCATTATAATAATGATAGGATTGTCTCTATTGAGTCCACGATCTGGTACGTGCAAATACGTTCGGATACGATCAACACAATTACTACCTACGACTATATGATAGTATCACCATGATTACTCCACGATTAAAACCACAATTCCAATCGTAGAGGGGGATCACGTGGCTAAGTGGGTGAGACGCTGGCTTGCTAGCCTGGAGGTCGGGTGTTCGATCCCTGCATTGGCCGAGAAAGTTCATCCAGATTTTCCGGCGTGGTTCCCCCTTGTCAGTGATGCAGAATGGAGGGCCTGACAAGGTCAGCTGTCTAGTCCTTCGGATGAGACGAAAAACCGAGGTCCCCTGTATACATTGGAATGCACATAAAAGATCCCTTGGCAGTTGGAATTCGATATAAGAGTAGGCGATAGTGCCGCTGCCCGGGCAAAATTTCCCTCATAGCATACTGTATTGCGTATGCCCGTCTTCATTAGCCCAGTATAGGAGCAGAACAGTGGGATGTTAAACCCCATTTCATTTCATTTCATTGCAAATTGTGACAGTGAGAACCTAGCATTAAAGAATATTTCAGAGAGGTTGAAACTGAATAACATGCATGTAAATCACGGCAAGCAAAGATGTGTTTAAAAAAAAGTGAGTGCTCATGTTTCTATTACTACAAGCATGGTGGGTGGAATTATATAATACTGTTATCCCATTCAGAAATTTTTTTTTAAACATACATCCATAGCAGCTAAGATGTCAGAATTGATTCTTTTATTTTATGGCAATGAAATAAATTAAGGCGCTGAACGTCCTACTTTTCTGCACCAACTGGGATAATGAAGATAGTCCTTT